ACCCCCTGACCGTAAACTGTGGCTGTGTAGAGAAAACAAAATGTCAGAACATCTGCACAACAGCTACCTTGCACATCTGTAATTTATATACTATCATATGTACAGTATATATGTTTCTGCTCCTGTAGTATGAGTATACATTTCTTTTGCTGCAGTATTTTGGTCACCATTTTAATTTATCCAGAATATTTTCTATCCATCAATCTATCTATCCATCCATCCATCTATATATATCTATCCAACTATCTATCTATCTATCTATCCATCCCTCTATCTATCCAAAATGATACCTAAAACGATAACAATTGCCTCATTCTGGAAATAAAACACATACCGTTCTTCCCACAAAAGCTTCTGTTGAATCCGTGCACGCAGATCTCCTTCACGCTGTTCTCACTCGTGCCGTGATAGAGCGTTTGTTCGATCACGGGATACGTGGCGCGCTGCAGGACGCTCGCCTTTTTCAACTTGTACTGGTTGTACAGCAGTCGATTCATGAGCTTCTCCACCTGGTGGGAAATCAGTGTTATTACAGAATCACCAAATAATTGTTTTGTTTTTTTAAAAGTGCTAATTCCTTACCTTTATGATTCTGATTTTGCTGTGAAACTCCCTTATGGTCTCATAGAAGTTCTTCACCACGTTCTGAAATTCGTCCGACTCCTCGTCGACTTTGGAGACTTCAGGTAGGTTTGACAGCAGAGAGTATTCCTCTTCTGTGAAAAAACAATTACATTTTTAGCAATTAATTGAGATTGTGGCTTTGAATTTGTTACTTTGATATTTCCTATCATTTATCAAAGTTAAGTTAGAGCCCCACATTATGTCAAAAGTATAACCGAATAGATTTATCAATATTGTATAATATGTCATTTGAATAAATTAAATTGAGTGAGAACAAGCTAACATAACAAATTAAGCCATTTTAAAGATTAAGAAGTTAATTTTGTCAAAGAGAAAACATATGAATGGAAGCCCTGCGAGTCTATGTCTGATCTAAGTGGAGAGCATTAGTTTAGTTAAGATCATTTTTCTAGGTTACTTTTCATCAATGAAAACCGGTAAAAAGAAGGTTGTGTTCGCTGTTGAGCTAGTTCTTACTCAGCGTTTATATAAACAAAATAGAGTAATACACGAACAAAAAGCAAGTGAAAATAAATCTACCTTTAAATAGTAAAGTTAAAGGTCCCATGTCATGGCCATTCCTACTGATCATAATTCCATTGTTGAGGTCTACTAGAATAGATTTACATTGTTCAATGTTCCAAACTCACATTGGTTTCTCAAACAGCATCTCTGTATATTATGTGTATTCACTCTCTGTCCTAAACGGCTTGTTGGAGCTCCTGCCCCCCCCACCCCTCCCTCCCTGTGAGCCCAGTGTGCTCTGATTGGTCGCGACGTTGAGCACACACAAACACTCACAGCCGAAGTGAAAACAATAAGTGTGGCTTGATATTGAGTAAGAAAAAGGTTTCTAACGCAGTGAGAATGGGTCTACGGAGAGCATTTCTCCATGATCCCAACTTAGTAGCACGAAAAACGTTTACCCATTTAAACAGTCGTGGTAGATACCTTGTTTGTTTCATAAATACACAAACAACAATGAATACTTACAGGTTGTGTACCCGAATCTCCCGCTGGTCCAAACAAAGTAGGAACAGCATCGTTCTTCAGTGCCCTACGCTGTACATATCCGGCATGAATCGCTGAAAGGTTTTGGGAAGCTTTGTTTCTTGAAAGGTTGGCAGAGGGTGCGGCCATAGCTCTGGGCGTGGCTACTGGGTATCCCTACGTAGCGATACCCAGGAAGTAAACAATGGAAAAAGAGAAATGTCCAACGAGGCGTTTTGGGGAGGTCTTTTCTGTGTGAGAGTTTTACTCGCTACAGGGTGTACTTTGAGGGGTTTTGACTCTGCAGACCGTTTACATGCAGAAAAACCTTCATGACACACAAGGGGACGGGTAATAACTTTTAAAGGATTGCACCGAGAGCTGCGATTCGCTACAGTGAACGATAACGTTGCTAGCTAACATCGATGATCGGTGAGGGCACATCAGCCGTGTGCAATTTAAGACAATCCTAAGTGTTTAGGGTGTACAACATGCAGTGTGCTAATGGAAACATATTCATTGAGAAACAGCAAAGAGAGGGAGATGAGGAAGTAGGCAGAGAAAATAACAGATGGCGTGAAGGATGAGACAGGTGAAGTGACAGTTCATGAGAACAAAGAGATGTGAGGATAAAAAAGTGAGCCAGAAATTGCTTAATGAGAGAGAGACATTGAGAAGCACATGAGTGATGGCAGAGGGATAGGTGGAGAGAAAGCTGTTCTGTCAGATCTAAAGAGTCTTTATGTGAAGGGTTTGAAGTGCAGCAAAACACATTCCCCCGGGAAAGTCAGAAAACTAAATGGAGGGAATGAGAGCAGTCAGTGAAACGGCATTTAAAGAGTGGCTCTGATTGTCACCCTCTAATCTCTGTCACCCATCTCAATTGCTTCCTGGTCTCTCTCTTTCTGTCACCATCTTCTTCCATCTCAGTCTCTAAAGATTTAAGTTGTATTCCATCTGAAGCCAGCCGAGCGGCTCTGCTCTACAGGGGCATGGAAATTAATTCCAACTCCCATCAGAAAAACAAGCTTTTGATGGTAATCAAGATAAATCCGGGCTGGGGCGGCGCTATCAGCGGAGCATCTTGATTGTTCACTGAGCACTTAGGAGCCAGGAGAGTGTTTGAAAATAGAGATGAGGCGCTCCCAAACTTCTTATCTTGTTTCTGTGAGAGAAGACGAAGGAAGCATCACCTGTGACGATGGTTGGGGATTACAGGCACTGAATCCTAATGGGACAAATTACACAGACGGGTGACAAGAAGGAATACTGATACATGCTGTAAAAAATCAACAGTTAAGTTTGTTTTCGGTACTGGTTCCTGGTTCCCCAATGCAACTAGAAGTACTTTGTTTTGATGGGCTGGTGTGCCATAGAAGTATTATGTACACCAGGGGTCGGCAACCCCTGGCACGCGTGCCAGCATTGGGACGCGGCACCGTAACCAGTGGCACACTAGGAATATAGTGGAAAAGTAGCAAAAATATTTAAATTGGTATTTCGGATCCGAACGAGACCCGGCCCCCGGCCAGAGCGCGCTCCCCGTTACCATGCAGAAGAAGCCATGCACGCAACGCAGCCCGACTCTCTTAACCCAGGGACTTCTGCCGCTTCCTCCGTGGTGCAGTGCTGACGTTTCACCACGGAGAAAGCACTTCACTAATTGCAGACCCATAAGGAGCTGACAAATGTCCGCAGTTTTGCGTGGCTGTGTATTGTAGTGAAAGCCCAGTGGCGATCTGCTCACATGTAACGAAATCAATTGCTGGACAAAGGGCGGACGCATGCTTGGTGTGAACTTCCTGTTGGCCCCTCAGAGCCGTTGGTTTGTGTTAGTCGAGAGGGCAGGGAAGCAACAAGCTCAGGTTCAATAGACCCACTTGATGCATGAGAGACGAGCCTACTTTGGAGAGTGGCCGTATGCAATTTATTAGGTAGGAGGGGGGGCGCGCGGCGAAGCGAGAGAGAGCGAGTTGGCTTCACATGGTAGCACTGGTGTGTTTGTGGATGTAGAGACGGTGAAGCTCCTGGGCGTGGGGTGATGTTTCCTTTCTGGTAGTGAAGAGGAGGGTATGTGGACCGTCTGGTTTTCTGCTTCCTCGTTCACTCCAGAAACATATCCACGTTCCCTCACTGTCGCTCTACCATCCACAAACACACATGCACAAGCCAGACCCCCCCCCCCCCTCTCTCTCCTAAGGGACACGACCTCAGCTCACTCTGCAGAACCTGATATTCATAACATGTGTGCTCTAGAAATCAGTATCACAAGAACTGACGATCGCCCTTATATATGCCGTTTAAACCAATTGTTAAATGTGGTTGTAAATCGCTCTCATGTAATGCGCTGACAATGCCACACAAGCTCCCCGCAGCGAGCTGATAGTTGACGACATCAACCCTCAACCCTCCTCAATGTTATCTCGATCGTTGGAACGCTGATAAACATTTCTTTTTAAAATGGCACTCAGATGAAAAAGTTGCCGAGCCCTGATGTACACTAACCGTGTTGCATACCTTTGTGTTTAGCAGACCGAGTAAACTAGGATAACTTGATCTAGGCCGCCCCCAAATAGTCAATTAATCATTAGTCGACAAGTAGTCTTAACGAGCAATTTTGCATTAAATTGAAGAGATTAATATTCAAAAATCATCATAAGTACCATAAAACGTGCGACGATTAGCGACCTAATCGCCTTTAATTGACGACTATTTAAAATCTGATCGAGGGCCAGCCCTACCTTGATACTGAATTATTGTATATTGTAGGTTTAAAAGTACACAAAGTAAACGGACCTAATAAAAAACATGTATTTTAATAAGGGAGAGGGCGGAGAGCACGATAACGCGTTCCGTATTGGGTAGAATTGTGGTGGTTTCGGAGCCATTTAGGGGTGTTGTTGTAGTAGTTTTACTTTATATATTATGCGACAATATTATTTTGAAACACTTGGGGCGGTTAGTCTGCACCGGTGTTAAAAGCAGTCACAGGTGACAGGAAATGACGTGGACACAGGAGGTAAGAGCATACCCGATGCACCCAGAGCAGAACGGCACCAGCCCAGCAGAGCTCACCACAACCTTTGACACAGTGGAATGAAACCCTCGTATGGAACTAAATAAAAATATTCTAACTGCACCGAAGAGACGGAAACCATCTGTTCGTGTCTGCGTCAAGATCACTCTGAAAACCTCCTGTGTAAAGAAAGGCAATATAGAGACATTTGAAACAGAAATTGCCCATTAAGGTGGGTTGAGGAAGGCCAATTACTACTGTGGAAAAGGTAAGAGAACCTGATTGTGGTGAGATCCCGCCGGAAGGCCAATAGCAGTTTTTTGACCACACACACAAAACAAGCAAAGAGTATTGTGGAAACCGTAGATCGTGGGTGAATGATGGAAAGAAACCATTAAAAAAAGGAAATAAATGGACGTTTCGAACGGATGGAAGTTGTTCTGACTTTTATCGGCGCAAACTTTGTGTGCGTCAAATTACCAACCCACCAAGCGTGAATCCTCAGAGGCTTAAAGCTTGGCTAGCCTACAGTGTAATATGCTAACAACTGAAATCAAGGTGAGAGAACTGCAACCATGTACATGAGCAGAAGTGCCCAAGATATGTCGGAGAATTTGGCGTGACGTAGTAAACGACAAAAACATCCGGAAAATATTGAGCAAATACTCAGGTTTTGTTCGAATTATCAACAAATAAGTTACTACACTTTCTGAAAAGGATGCGCTCCATGAGACAGCACAGTCATTTGCACTTCGCTGCAAATTGGGTAAGGAATCGTGAGGTCCTTGACGGCTTGTTTGGTAAAATAAGTAATCATAGTAAGTATGAATTAAGTGTGCATCACAGCTACGCGCAAGACAAACTGCAACAGGCCGCTGGACCCGCACAAAGAGTTCAATTAGATTATGATATTTATATTATACACAAGTATCTGAAAAAGTCAGTGTGTTATGTGAATCATAATTAAATTATATGAGTATGGAAAGAATATCCACTTCTATAGCTGCAGGGTTGGGTTACAGTTTATAACTGTATAAATCTACCAGCTGGGGCCAAAGCCTGCCATTCTTTGGGGGATACTAGGCTTTAAGGGCCGCATGTCATGGCCCATTCTACT